TATAAATTATTATTATTATTATTATTATTAATTGGACCATAGGCTAAATTGAATAAACAGCTCTGTTAGCAACAGATTTGATTAATCTGCCAATGTTTTGTAATATTAGTTGGTTTGTCTCACAATTTAAAACATAACATTTTGGATGATACATTACAAAAACTGGTATAATAATATAGCCTACAAAAAAAAAACATACATAGATAGATATATACATATGTATCTGCCTATCCAAAATCACCTTGTTCATGTAAAAACACAGCTGTATTAGACATGGAAAACATGACCTTTGCATAATTTTAAGACAATATATAAAAGTATACAAGTAATAAATATATGTCAAATATCTCTGGGTTCACCTCATTGTTCGCAGATTGGCCCATGCAGCTTATTTTTTATAAAATCGCCAAAGAATTCACATTCAGAATGATTTTTTTTTTCCATCTGATGTATGATACAACATTGACAGCCAATCAGAATCCGTTCTGTTTTAAAGAGCTCGACCATTTAAAGCGGCAAGTGACAAAACTGCGGTGCACGCTTATAATAAACAGGACATTATCATCTGTTGGCAGGGAAGCTAATATAGTTATCATTATGGTTATCTTTATAGTTATCATTCTTAATGTGAACGGGCCTTTAGGCCTACTGCATTACAGAAATGACATAGTTTCTAACATTAACCCTTACATAAGCAGGCATCACGTTATATAAAATCCACACCTGACTTATTGTCATCAAAGACTATTTTTGTGTGGATATGTATGAGTGGCATCATTTGTGTGTACGCAGTTTGTATGTGTGTGTTAGCGGGACAAGTAGCATGTTTATGTGCTTCTGTTCTAAGGATCAATTCGATATCTCGTAAATATCGGCTTAGTTTTAAATGAACCCTCGGATCAGAGGGTTTTTCACCTCATTGAGCTGCCTTAGGTGGAAATGCGCTAATATTGGATCACAAATGCAAGGGGGAGGCATGAGAGATATTCCTGACACCCCAAGCTGCCGAAACCATTCGCCCGTAGAGTCTGTCAGTCAGTGCCAGACAGGCGAAGCGGCAGAGAAATACATGGCCTGGGAAGCAGACATGCCTCAGCTCTCCGTATGGAAAGGTTCCTGAATAAATAGATCATAAACCTTCAACATAAAGTTCTTCCTCACTGAATCCTAAAGGACTTTTTGGTAAACAAATAACCTGCATGTAAAAGTTTTGCGAGATCTCATGAACTGATTATAGATGAAAATGTATAACAGTCCAAATGGTCCTTACAGCAGCTTTTGTATTCAAAACAATCAAGAGTCAAGGATTTAGCTAAGTCAAGCACATTAGCACTTTATACAATACAGATTGTTTCAAAGAAGCTTCATGGTAATAAACAAGAAAATAACAGTATTGATGTTATTTCAAAGTTCTTCAATTATGAAACAAATACAATTTCAGCTATAAAGCAGCTCTCAAAGACAATAGGATTTTGATGTGAGAGGACAACAGGGGATGTTTTTTTTTACTGAAGGATTATGAACTCGTATTTTAGCCACAAGCAATGGTTTCAAGTAAAAATGCCTTAATAATGGGTTTGTTTCTTACAAACAAGCAGATTTTCGCTTCACATGATGGTAACGGATGTACTGGAGTGGTGTGGATTACTTATGGATTATTATGAAGTTTTTATCAACTGTTTGGACTCTTATTCTGACGGCACCCATTCACTGCAGAGGATCCATTGGTGAGCAAGTGATGTAATGCTACATTTCTCCAAATCTGTTCTGATGAAGAAACAAACTCATCTACATCTTAGATGACCTGAGATTAAAGTTTCAGCATATTTTCATTTTTGGGTGAGCCATTCCTTTAAAGTACAATATCCGTTTAAAACACTGGGATAATATTTTAGGTCCTGGGTTGGTGGGCAAATGGTCTTTAAAATGGAGTATTTATGGAAGTGAGGTTTGCTCATGAACATGAGAGGGTGAGCAGGTGCTGATTGTTCTGACCTATGACTAATGGATGGAAACGTTTCCTTTATGCAATGCCTTGTTATTTGACTGTAATATATTTGCTTTAAAGAGGTGAAGACTTAATGACCCGGCATGTCCTGTAATTTACAGATGTGTATGGCTGTCATTTTTAGATGATGGAGTTTTCGTTATACTAACCTGTTTGATTTCACAATTTCCCATTATAGGATGTGCCTCGTCTGCTATATTGCATTTGAGATGCACATAAAAATGTATTTTGAGGCATTTACTGTATTAGGCTTTGAATTGCTTTGTCCTTGTGGCATAGGACACACACACACACACCACCCAGTCCCTGATATGTTGAGGACAGCTGCCCATTCATTCTCATTCCTGTCTCTGTGAGCTAAAATTACAAAGCTGCTGCCTGTCACACATAAAAACAATTGTCTCTGTCCTTTGTGCTTTCAGAAGCTGTCTTGACCCACGGGCAACACCTCAGGTAACACACGTCTCAACTACATCTCTCAATGCAGATCAAGGGATTTATTTAGTTTAGTATTGTGATTGCAACTATTCATAATTGTTTCTTTTTATTTTTGTTTATACCTATTTGATTTTACAGGTTTCACAATGGCGGACGAGTAAGTGTTTCATGCATTATGTTTTGTGAACATTGCCTGAACAAACATCTTTGTATATTTCTTTATCTGATAATATTTTCTTCTCTTTCCTCTTTGCAACCACCAATAAATATAAAATCTGCAGCAATGTAAGTAAATAGTCTACAGTATATGCAACCTTTAAGACTGAAATTAGAGCAATAATTAGTTAAAGGGATAAAAGTTTTAATAACATTATACAATAATTTTCTGATAATGTGATTTATAGTGTGTATTTGTATTCAAATTTTTACTTTAATTTTTGTATATCATCAATAGCCTCCTACTCCATTGCCCCCTCGAGTGCAAGCCAAGGTATTGAACAGCATATTGTGATTACGATATTGTGAAATGCACATTTATCTCTACATTGTTGAATGACAGAATATAATGCATAAAAATTAGGATTAAACTTGTTAAAAATTTTTTTTTTTTTAGCCGAAGTCTAAGATTTCTGCATCTCGAAAACTCTCCCTGAAGGTATGATAGTGGTGTGTGTGTGTGTGTTTTCTATATTTTGAGAACTCAGTAAATGTGCATGTGAACTGATTGCCAGTATGTTTTTTTGTTACTGTTTAAACCTACAGAATGCCTATTTACAGTACATTCTGTTTTCTCAGATCCTTTTGCTCCAAAGAGCCATGGAGGAGTTGGAACAGGAGACGGTCAATCGAGATGAGGAGAAGGTGAAATATCTGAGCGAGAAGCTTACGCCTCTTCAGATAACTGGCCTCTCAATGGATGAGTTGCAGGTTAGTGAAAGACAACTTCATTAACATATACAGACACTGACCAACTAGTAAAAAGCAAGTGAGTTTTTCTTTCTTTCTATATTTTTAGGAAATGTTAATAATTATAATGTTTATCATATATTTACTTAAAATAATATTTATATTACTGTTTTTAACACACTTGACTGAATTTATGTTCTTCATGAAGCTGGAATCTAGTCAAAGGTCAACTAGTCAACTTTCCATTTGTGTTATTTTAGTGATTTGCTGACTTAAATCATGAAACCACAAATCATAAAAAAAACATGTTAAATAGTAATACTAGTCATTTTGTAATTATAATTTTGTATGTGTCCAGAAACTGTGTCGGCAATTCAATTCCAAAATCGATGTAGTGGATGAGGAGAGATACGACTTTGAGGCCAAAGTGAATAAAAACAACAAAGATGTGAGTAATGTACCTTTCCTAAACTTGCACTATTAACAGATGACAGTTTCTGTAATTAACAGTGTCTGTGTCTGTAAAAGATCCAAGAGCTGAAGCTGAAGGTGCAAGATTTAGGAGGGAAGTTTAAGAAACCTGCCCTGAGGAAGGTGCGTGTGTCTGCGGATGAGATGATGAGAGCGCTGCTGGGCTCCAAACACAAGGGCTCCATGGATCTCCGAGCCAACCTCAAATCTGTGAAGAAAGAAGACATTAAACAAGAGAAGGTACACCTGCATGCAATGTGTTTATCTCAATTTTTTTATCTCAATTTTTTTTTAAATAAAGTAATTGCGACTCTTATTATCTCACAAGTCAGACTTATTTCCTCGCAATTCTATGCATTGTGACATTACTTTCATGACAGTTAAACTCATTTTCCCTCTTAAATCTAATGCATCCTTTTTAGATATTTCACTTTTTCTTTCATTCCTGTTATTCTTAAAGGTGATTATCATTATAATATAATATAACTTTTGCATTACATTATGGAGAATTGGGCCAAATATGCCCATTTGCTATAAATCATCCTTGACAGGTTTTTAGAGATTCAAGAGAATACAGGAAACCTATTTACAGTTTTTCAATTATCAGTAACTGCACACTTGATTTCTGTTCTGTCAGGTTATGTCGTCGGAGGTGGGCGACTGGCGTAAGAATGTTGAGGCCATGTCTGGTATGGAGGGCAGGAAGAAGATGTTTGATGCTGCTGGAGGAGGACAGTAATAGGAGTGTATATAAGAGTGTGTATAACTGTGTATATGTATGCGTGTGCATTTGTTATTAGTGACGTGTAAAATCAAAATGAAGAAAATTACCTGAAACCAGTCACCAGTAAAAAATAAACAATATGCATTATTACAAATACAAATCAAAAGAAAGCTTCTAACTAGGCCTATATGAATATGGAAATGTTTAATGTTACTTGCTATTTGCCCATTTAAGGTTAATAAAATTTTGATTGTGCTAAAATTGTGTGATTTATTATAACAGTAGGCTGTCATGATATATTTAACACATACTGGATGGAGAGAACTTCACAACCTTGTGTGAATGACAGTTTGGGCTCCTCTTACATATCAGGGTGGTGAGGTCACGTTGACAACTGACTCATTCAGATTATTCACACTGTGTGACTGACTGTGTGTTTGTGCTCAAGGACAAGAGAAGTCAGTGTGTCCGGCAGTGATTTTTTTTGGTCAACACCTGTCTGAGGGTGACAAAAGAGACGAGTTATTGACGTGTAATGCAGCCTGGTTTGGCAGGCACACTGTATGAACAATGGTGGAGAAAGAATAGTTTATCACCTCAAAACAGCATGATGAAACTTCCATAGTACTCTTAATATTTCTGCAGTACAAAGTGTGTATTATGGACAGTATGCAAATATTCAGCAATACCTTTTTCTCGACTCATTTTTTATGATTAGACTGCATGTGCAAAGGGTTGAGACATTTTTTACATATAGGCTAATGCAGGGGTGCCTAAACTCGGACCTGGAGGGCCGGTGTCCTGCAGAGTTTTGCTCCAACCCCAATCAGACACACCTGAACCAGCTAATCAAGCTCTTACTAGACATACTAGAAACTTTGTAGCAGGTGTGTTGAGGCAAGTTGGATCTAAACTCTACAGGACACTGGCCCTCCAGGACTGAGTTTGGGCACCCCTGGGCTAATACATTATTATCATCAATAATGATTAAAAATGCAAAATAACAGTTTTTTTTTTTTTGTCTCAAAAAATTTGAGATTGTTCACAAGTTTGGGGTCTGTAAGAATTTTGTTTCATATTTTTGAAGGAAGTCTTGCTCACCACGCCTGCATTTACTCAATCAAAAATTCAGTAAAAACAGTAATATTGTGAAATATGATTACAATTTCAAATAACTGTTTTCTATTAGAATATTAGAAATTAAATTAGAATTAAATAAATATTAGGCTTGAATTTAATTTAGTACTTTATTCCTGTGATGCAAAGCTGAATTTTCAGCATCATTACTCCATACTTCAGTGTCGCATGTTCCTTCAGAAATCATTCTGGGGTGATGGTTATTGTATAAAAAACGGTAGTAGGGATGATCATAATTGTTCTTACTATTAATATTGATACTATAAATGGTGATATAATTACAACAGAACGGGATACGATTACATAGCTGAGCAAATAATAATAATGATAATGACAGGAGCAGATATTCATGTTTATTATAAATATTATTATTGTTATTATAAAACTGTGATTTAACAATATAATAGGATATGGTTATATTTTATATATTACATGATTATTATAAATACTGGGACATATTAGAATGTTTATGATAATGAGGATTATTATAATGTATTATTGTGATTATTGTGATTATTGAGTATTGCATACACAACTCCAAATAAATGCACAGACGCGAGCCTTCGCTAAATATAGCCCTCCGTATAAAATTAAAAGGCATTTGTAGAATTTAAGCATGCTCAGAGGGAAGCCAGAGTCTCCTGTTCTTATTTTAACCCTTCACAAGCTCATACCAACAGATGGAGGGCCCTCATTTAACTTTGTAGACGCTCTGGAATTAGGTGCTGTATTTAGATGTACGTTACATTTTGGTGGAGTTATTTTTTTTTGTGATTATAGTTTGAAAACACTATATATGTTAAATGCAGTGTCTGATTTAAAGTGGTGAGCTTTCCTTTTAAAACTATTTTAAACATTCCCCACAATTTATAACTGCTTGTCGAACACAACGGGTGAGTGACAATATTTGTCCACTTTAAAGCAAATGCGTGGTTTTTTCATGCAAGTTTTTTTTTTTTTTTTTTACCTTGAATTATCAGTTTTAAAATCATTCTGATGGTGCACTGACTTCTAATAAGGCGAATGGCTTTTGTTTCTTTCCAAACGTCTTCTCTGGTAGTGGGATAATTTGAAACGAATTCCGCGACAAGGGCGGATTGCTTTAGCTTTACGGCAGCAACAAATGTATGGTGGTTGTGCTTCAAGGGATTCAGCTAAAACTACTGGCCATGCGCACATCAATCGTAATTTTTGTCAGACTGTACAACAATTACTGTTTTTGCATTATTGTAAGGGGTAGGTTTAGACGTTATTAAAACACGTGTACAGCGATCTACTGTAATTACGACAGTGAATTCCACTCGTTTAACTGTAGGGGGCTCCTGAGTCGAAAAACAAAGAACCGGTGGCAAATTGGGTTACACTTTATTTCGATAGTCCACTTTAGACATTCTACTAACTATAAGTAACTTTGTAACTACATGTCAACTACATGTCAACTAATTCTCATTAATCTGCAACTACACAACTCTCAGAGTAGACTGTTAGGGTAGGTTTAGGGTTAGTAGAATAAGTTGACAAAGAAAGTGTTAGAAGATATTAAGCAGACAGTCTACTAATACTCTACTAACTGCTAGTTGACATGTAGTTGCAAAGTTACTTACTGTTAATAGAATGTCTAAAGTGGACTATCGAAATAAAGTGTTACCGAAAATTGAATGCCGTTTCAAAGCAGTTCAAGCATGGAAAGCATTTCATTTTTCCAAAAGAAATGTACCTGTTTTCACTTTAAACAAATCATTTACATTTGCAGTACTGAGAATCCTCCTGCGGTAATGAGAAATGTTCTTCGAGGTTTTGGTCTAGTTATTTATTACAGCAACGATGCACATTTACAAGCAGCTATTTCTGGAGTCTGGCACAACAGACAGGGATTAACCTACGTAACAATGGAGTGATGGAACATGCCAACAGACAGAAAATAAAGAGAATAATAAACATCAAAAAGTTTATATTTGCCGGAAAAAAGTACAGTACGTAATGCTAATTAATATATTTTATTAATGCTCAAAAACAGGCGATGCTGATATTGATTATATAACAAATAAAACACACTGAAGGAATCTGAAGAAACATTTTATTTTAAGGTTGTTGGTGATCTGCATAAATGAGTTAAAGGTCATTTCCATTTTGCCGCATACAAAATATGTGGAAAAATAAATAACTTGATTTTTAAGTAACACACTATGTGAATGTCAGATTTGTTTTTACAAAAAAAAAAGCCCACCAAAAAACAAGCCAACCACAAGGGTTAAAAAAAGACTCTAAAAACAGCGGCAAATCCCTACACAAAACAAGAGCGTACAGTAGATCTGATTACTTCTCAATTACATACAGCAGAAGGCACTTTTGAGCGAGCATGTCTTATCTCAGTTTTCAGTGGGAAATTTTTTGCATGTAATTCATCGGAGTACAAACTCATAACAAACCAAATAAGAACCCTATGGAAAAGAACTGAAATTGATTGCGTGTTTGATGAACATTAGGATTGTTTCAAGTAATACTGTACAGGGTTGAATCAGTCTAAATCAACAGGTTTACTCTGGAATGTGTCATGAAGCTAAAAAACCCTTTCATTTGTACAAAAAGAGCATTTTCAGCTTTAAAACACCTTCAATAGCACTACAAAATGACAAATATCACAGAAAACATGGCTGGGTCATTTCATGCACTCCTTCAAAATACATTTCATTTTGCATAACGATAATTAAGCCTTGAATGAAGGTACTATGATCTATGACAATTAAGCACATCTAATACAAATAATTTTCATGTATTGCATTACAGTAACAATAATATGAAGACATTTTTTATTTTTAAATCAGCATAAAGGCCAATGCTACCATGACACATACATACTTTGAATTTAATATGGTTATTTGTCTGCATTACAGTAATGAGAATTTGGTGTACAATGTGCTTACTTTTTATGAAAATTGCTGAAAAATTATTCTTTTAACAAAATTTAATTTCTTTTGTATTTTGAGGATGATATATGACCGAGACGTGTTCTTGACAGGCTTTGTGAGATTGACTTGAAAACACAACAGCATTTCTAACCTAACATGACTTTCTTAGACCAACACGCTCTGTGAATATTGCACATCTCTTTGGTTTTGGCCACTGATTCTTTCAGTCCCTAAGAGGTCACACAGCATAAAACATATGTAACAATGAGCAAAGTCAACCCTCACCCAAGACACTTACCTACCTGAATAAATACACATTTTCTCAGTATATACATCTCATTGAACTTCACATTTCTGTCTGTTAGAATAGAATACTCAGCCATACACGACTGAAGGCATTTTATTGACCTGGAAGTGACAACAACACCAAAGAGATGCTGAAGCCATCAATAACTTGTATCAGTTCCTTTAAAGTTTTTTTTTTTACTCTTGATAGTATAGCTAAGCTTTGGAGAAACATTCCAACTTTGGAAATGATCTGTAGAGGTCTGGATGCAACAGTGTTACACAACTCATCTTCAGCCCAAACATCACAGACGTCTTTGTCCTGAGTCTCTGTGTGTTTCCATTAAACGATCACCTCACATTCACCTTCAGTCAGATGTGATCTGGAACACATCTGGAATGTCCTGAGGTTTAAAGTGCCATGGTAACCGCTGATCAGCAGCGGCGAGACTGTTGACATGCTTACGTGTTGCGCGGCATCTGGCGGTTCCACATTCCACGCTTTGAGTGAAAGTGATGGAAGAATTTCCTCAGGTAGAGTCGTTCCACCTCCAGCCCACCCTGAAGGATCCTTGAGACCACAGAAAACAGAAAGCACTTCACACACCAAATAATGTTTGTTTAGCATTAGGGATATTACAGTTCTGGCCGTTACGAAAAGCTGAATTATTTTCACATTACAGGCAATAACCTATAAATAGCCAATATTAACCCTTGTGTGTCCTTATGGACATTTCTGTCTTTTTCAGTTTTGTAATTTTGCCTGTGTTAATGCCAACAGCATACATTTTGGCACAAGGGTGTATTTTTATTAGAATTTTAAAGGGGTCATATGATGCGATTTCAAGTTTTCCTTTCTCTTTGGAGTGTTACAAGCTGTTCGTGAATAGATAAGATCCCTAAAGTTTCAAAGACTAAAGTCTCAAACCCAAAGAGATATTCTTTATAAAAGTTAGGACTGGTCCACGCCCTCCTAAGCAACGCAACGCGTAAAAAGACAGTATAAGTCATTATAATCAGTAATTATGTCCCCACTGGATGCAACAAATGCCTCGTTTATAATGGGTTTTATTGGTTTGGTCTCGTCGCTCCGGGACACGGCATTACAGTATGGTAAGGGGCGTAACATTTCCGTCACACGCTTGAGGTATTCGGCCAATCACAACACACTGGATAGCTGGCCAATCAGAGCACACCACACTTTTCAGAACGATGAACTTGGTAAAAATCGACACGTTTCAGAAAGGCGGGGCATAGAGGAGAAACAATAATGTACAGTATGTGGAAAATAATGTGTTTTTAACCTTAAACTGCATAAACACATT